TCTGCAGCATCAGTTTGAGCATCCGCATCATCGGCATCATCAGCACGAACAGCCTCATCATCACCAGCATCAGCATCATCAGGATCATCGTACTCATCATCTTAATCAGCATCAACATCAGCATCAGCAGCAGAATCGTGGTCATCAGCATCATCATCCTAATCATCAACATCATCAGCATCAGCATCAACATCAGCATCATCATCATCAGCATCATCATCAACAGCATCATCATTAGCATCAGCCTCAGCATCAGCATCATCATCATCATCAGCAACATCATCAGCAGCAGCATCATCAGCGTCAGCATCAGCATCATCATCATCTGCATCATCAACACCAGCATCTCATCATCAGCATCAGCATCGTCACCATCAGTATTAACATCATCAGCAGCGTATGCATAACCATCATCATCATCAGCAGCAGCACCGGCATCACAATCAGCATAATAATCCTCATCATCGTCATCATCATCATCAATGAACATCAACATCATCATCACCATCGTCAACATCAGAATCATCATCATCAGCATCATCCGGATCATCATCAGCAGCAGAGCATCATCATCAGCATCATCATCGTCGTCATCATCTTCATCGTCGTCATCATCTTCATCAGCAGCATCATCCTCATGCTTATCCTCATATTCATCCTCATCCTCATCCTGATCCTCATCCTCGTCGTTGTCGTCGCGGTCGTCGTCGTGGGCGCGGGCGCCTGCAGGGTGCCAGCCGCAGCCTCGGGCTCGGCCTCGACAACCTGTGGAGGCCACCCGAACAGGACAAGAGAATGGATGGGTCGGAGGATCGCACCACGTCGACTCCGGATCAGGCCTCGTATCGGGGATGCGGCGCGATCCTCCGATCCTATCCACTCTTGTCCCGTTGGGGTGGCCTGGACCTGTGCGGCCGGAGGGACCTCCGAAAAAGCACCTGCCGCCCGATTGGGCGAGGCCGCTGGGAGATCTCGGATCCGCGTGGGTGACGGTGCGGTGATCAGGGCACTGGTTGGCGCCGCGGGGAGCTCCAGCGTCAGCATGGCTGTCGGTGCGCCCGTCGGCTCGATGCTCGGTGAGCTGGTCGGCGCGCTGGTAGTCGGCTGCGAGGCTGGAGGTGTGCTGGTCGGCGCGATGGTCGGTGCGCTGGTCGGTGCGCGGGTAGTCGTCTGGGTCGCCGATGGGGCGCTGGTCGGTACGCTGGTCGGCGAGCTGATCGGCGCGCTGGTCGGTGCGCTGGTCGGTGCGCTGGTTGGCGCGCTGGTCGGCGCTCTGGTCGGTGCGTTGGTAGTCGTCTGCGTGGCCAACTCTGCGCTGGTCGTTGCGCTGGTCGGTGCCCTGGTCAGTGCGCTGGTAGTCGTCTGCGTGGCTGACGGTGCGCTGGTCGGTGCTTTGGTCGGTGCGCTGGTCGGTGCGCTGGTCGGTGCGCTGGTAGTCGTCTGCGTGGCTGACGGTGCGCTAGTCGGTGCGCTGGTCGTTGCACTGGTCGGTGCGCTGGTGGGTGCACCAGTCGGTGCTCTCGTCAGTGCTCCAGTCGGTGCGCTGGTCGGTGCACTGGTCGGCGAGCTGATCGGCACGCTAGTCGGTGCGCTGGTCGGTGCGCTGATCGGCGCGCCAGTCGGTACGCTGGTCGGTGCGCTGGTAGGCGCACTGGTCGGCGCGCCAGTTGGTGCGCTGGTCGGTGCGCTGGTCGGTGCGCTGGTTGGTGCGGCGTTGGGCTGCAGGCCGAGGCTCGCGACGGTGACCACGTCGCCGACCACGTCGCCGACCATGTCGCCGTCCAGGTCACGGGGTTCCTGTGGAAGCCCGAAAACGGTATAGGAAAGTATGTAAGATGCCCAGCGACGAATGCTGCCCAAAGCCGACAACGGCCGCTGTTGGGCAGGCGAGCTTGTCTCAAATGGACAACGACCGCGGCGGCGCAGACAGCGAGTCCTGTTCAGAGCGAACCAAATCTGGCGCTGGCCTCTGCACCCACTGTTCCCGCACCCAGTTCGGCCCCCCCAAGTTCCGCGTCCACGCTGCCGACCACCTTACCGTCCGGGAGCCGGACCACGTCAACGAGGTTCCGGAGGTGGGCGGGCGACTTGAGCACGTGGGCGGTGGCGTTGGAGGCGGCGGTGCGGTAAAGCCCGCCGGCGACGGCCCCGCCGCCGGGGTCTCCGACATGCCCCCGAAGGAGGCCGCGAGAGGCAGCGAATCCCTGCTGAGCACGCGTGCTGAGCATCCCTGGTGTCCCCGCTGGCGAGTTCCTGTGGAACATCGTTCGACCGATCCCCATCCCCACTGAGGCCCAGAGGTTAACACCAACACCAACATCGGCGGTGCCCGAACTTGGTGATGGTGGTAATAGTCGGGCTCCCTGGGTGGCCGGAACACTGCCGCCAACAACACCCAAGATCATCTTCCATCGACAAAGGCAACCCCCTGTGTTGGTGTTGGTGCCCATCTGCAGGCCTCCAACACCCGCTTGGCCGTGGACCCTGTGGCCGACCGACCCCGTCTAACCCCCTCTGGGAGGCCTACCCGTCGGTTGGAAGAAGTGGGTGGAAACTCGAAGCAGGAGGGCGTCAAAAGTAGATTGGGCTTCCGCCCGCACCTTGAGGACAAGGGCAGAGGAGTACCACTCGACTCTTGAAGTAGGAAGGCGCCCAGTAGATTGGAACTTGGGCATCCAAAAATATAGACTTTTCCAACGGCGGCTGGCGCGTAGATTTCTCCCTCCCGAGATATATTGTTTTGCGTCTTCTGTGGACCTTGCCTCCCGCCGCGCCGCTGACCGCGTCGAAGCCGCTTCGAATCCACGCCGAGTCATCGAAGCCATGTCGAACCCGCGTCGAGTCCGCGTCGAATCCACACCGAAACCTTGTCGAATATAGTGGAGGCCAGTCCACAAGAAACCTTCCACAAGAAACCCAACCCTGAGACCCCAGGACGTCCATTGCTTTTTGATGTGGGGACGTCACGCTCTCAATAGCAAAACGGTCGAAACCCAGGGCACCCTGGAGGCAAGCAAGGTGTTTCTTGGCATGGGCCCCCACTGTACGCGTCGGACATACAAAGGGCACCAGAAAAGGACCGACCTTTACAAAACAAACGAGGTCCACCTAAAGATGAAACGTAAGATACCATGGCTCAGCGGGCAGGGGTATCGGTCAGACCATGTTAGACGCGGCCGGGAGGTCTGAAGGACCTCAAGAACATCGGTCAAGAAGATAAGTAATGGCAAATACATTCATACTTCGTCCCCAAACACCTCCCGGGGTCCATCTCATCTGGTGCAGTGATTCACCCTGGATCAGTTTCGACTGTCCCGGGGACTGAAAGCGGCCCTCAAAGACCGAGGAAAGAAAACAACGAAAAAAAAACTGCCGGAACCCAGCACCCCGACCATGCCTCCCCTTCCTGCTCGCTGGAACCAATGCTGGGTCACCTCAGACCCCCAGTCGGCTCCAAACGTGAGATACAGGCCCAGCGGGGATGGGCATCGGTCAGACCAATCGACGACTCCGAAGAGTGTGGTGTACCAAGGGTGTGGTTTGCAACCGACTACCTGGGAGGCACCCTGGGGGGCGGGCAGGGACCTCGAAAGGGCTCTCCGCCACGCCCCGAGGAGGTTCCACGAGGACAGTGTCGTGCCCACCAGGCCCCAACGGCGCCGATCGCAAACCACACCTGGGCGTAACCACACCCTGTGCAGTCGCCGAATGGGCATCGGTCAGACCCATTTGACGGCGAACACAAGGGGGTAGGCGGAAGGGGGGAAGGCTTCTGCGAAGGAGGCTGATTTTCAGAGGGCGCTGGCCCAACACCTGCAGCGAAGGCCCGCGCCCCTCAAGACGCAGGGGCGCGCATGAGAAGACTTCCCCCCCTCACCCCTACAGTCGGGGCGTTGACCTGAGGAACCCTAAATAAGGAACGATGCCCCTTTTCTCCACACATTGAACTTCGATTTCCCTTGGAAAACCTCAGGAAAACCTGAGGCAAACTGCGAAACAACCAAGGAACACGGAGCCCCTCCCCAACGAAAAGGGCTCCTTTTTCAGCGCCATGACTGTTAGAGGAAAGAGAACTATGCACATGCACCGATTCTGGCCAGGCCCACCCTGAGCCCAGGATCGGTGCATACGCCCTCCTACCTTGGCCAGGAAGGCATATGCACCGATTCTGGGTCAAGGATGGGCCTTGCCAGGATCGGTGCATGTGCATAGTTCTCTTCGCCCGAACTGTACCCCCCCTGCCGGTCAGAACGATCGAAGCGGGCACGGAAATGAGGGGGGCGCCTGCTGGACCCCTCCCCCGAGGAAAAGCGGGGCTGGGACGGCCGCCGTGGGCGTGCCCGCCGATGCCCGCTGCCTGGGGCCCACGCGCGTGCTGGCCGCCGGCGGGGACGGGCAGCCCTGGCATTCGGCCCCGGGGGACGACGACGACGAGGACGAGGACGACGACGACAACGACGACGAGGACGATGAGGACGACGAGGACGACGACGACGACGACGACGACGACGTAGACGACGACGACGACGACGACGACGGCGACGACGACGACTCGCTGTCGGTGTCGCCGCGGACTGTGCCCATTTGAGACAGAAGGCCGCCTGCCAGACAACGGCCGCCTGCTGGTTAGGGGCAACATCTGCTGTCGGGCGCGGCGGGAGGCGGACTGGGTAGAAGCAGGCGAGAGCACGAGGAGGAGGAGGAGGAGCAGGTGGGGGAGGAGGAGGGGGAGGAGGAGGAGGAGGAGGAGGAGGGGCACGACAACGGGCAGGAGGAGGAGGCGCAGGGGGACGAACGGGAGGAAGGGCAGGAGGAAAAGGAGGAGGAGGGGGAGGAGGAGGAGGAGGAGAAGGAGAAAGAGGAGGGAGGAGGAGGAGGAGGAGAGGAGAGGAGGAGGAGGAGGAGGAGGAGGAGGAGGAGGAGGAAGGCAGGACAAGGGGCAGGGGCAGGAGGACGAGGCGGAGGAGGACGAACGGGACGAGGGGGGAGGAGGAAGGGGAGGAGGACGGGGAGGTGGAGGAGGAGGAGGAGGAAGAAAAGGATGATGAGGAAGAGGAGGAGAAGGAGGAGGAGGAGGAGGAGGAAGAGGAGGAACAGGGGGAGGACGAGGAAGAGGAGGAACAGAAGGAGGAGGGAGAGGAGGAGGAGGAGAAGGAAAAGGAGGGTGAAGGGGAGGAGGAGGCGGAGGACGGGGAGGAGGAAGGGGAGGCGGAACAGGAGGTGGACGATGAGGGAGAAGAGGAGGAGGAGGAGGAGGAAGAGGAGGAGGAGGCGGAGGAGGAAAAGGGGAGGAGGAAGAGGAGGAGGAAGAAAAGGAGGGGGAGGAGGAGGGAGGAGGAGGAGGAGGAGGAGGAGGAGAGAGGAGGAGAAGGAGGAGAAACAGGGGGAGGAGGAAAAGGAGGAGGAAGAGGAGAAGGAAGGAGAGGAGGAGGAGGAGGAGGAGGAGGAGGAGGAGAAGGAGGAGAGGTAGGAGGAGGAGGGGGGGGAGGAGGAGGACGAAGAGGAGGAGGAGGAGGAGGGCGAGGAAGGCGAGGAGGAGGAGGAGGAGGAGAAAGGACAGGAAAAGGGGCAGGAGGAGGAGGCGGAGAAGGAGGAACGGGAGGAGGGGGGAGGAGGAAGGGGAGGAGGAGGGGAGGAGAAGAAGGAGTTGATCAGAGCGGATCGGAGAGCGCACCCAGGTGCAACCTCAACCGCAGAAGCGAGCATCGACCACGGTCAGGTAGATTAAAAGGCGCTCGCAGTAGCGCAAATCGGCAGAGGCACCACACGAGTACAGGGCCACCGACCCTGACATGAACGTCGCTCCGACGACACAAAGCCGCAACCGCCCTGAGAAGGGCCCTGCTTGTCGCGAAAGGGCGCGCCGACGGGTCGGAGCACACGCGCATCCTCGAGCCGACACGGAGGAGGTGCCGCAAGGCTGGAGGCTCCACGACGCCCCTCACCCGCCAAGGTCGGCACCGGCCGGGAGGTCGGCTCGCTCGGGCACCCGACTGAGCACGGGCCAGAAGCCACAGCGGACGCGAATTTGCCAGACAGGGCAGGCGGCGCCCGCCCCAAAGCGAGCGGCGCGGCAACTACACGACGCACTGTAACATCTCCGAACCGACCAAAGGGCGCCGCGGAAGGACCACAGACTCGACGCGGAACCTCGGCCAGAGACGGCGGCACCTGCTGGGAAGACGGCTCGGACGCATCGGCCGACGCACAGGCACGGGCCTCAGCCGCGACAGAAGCGGGGCGGCCCGTTCTGATAAACAGTGTGAGCCCATTACGTCCAGCGTGGGCACGGCCGAATTTGCCGCGATCGATCTTCGCCAAAGTATCGCGCCCTTTCTTGGCAATCCCTGTAAACTCGGATGCGAGGTGGCGAGGGTCCCGGGCGGCGCTGTTACCGCGCACTCGGCAGAAATACGACAGGCACTCCGGCATGGTTTGCAGATTGCGCGACGCACGAAACACGCGCCCGCGCGCGAACGCAGGGAACTCAGCAGGAACGATCGCGTCGCTGGCGGAAGGCCCAGGGGGGACAGGCGCGCGCGGGGTTCCGCGCGGAAGAAGGATGCGGCCGCGAAGCCAAGTCCCCGCACTCTGCACACATGCACTTGCCACCACAAAGCTCGCATTTGTGTCGGCTGTCCTGGAAGGCCCGCCGCAGCCTGCGCGCCCGCCACTGCTTGCTGCCGCGAAATGCCCAGGCGTCGGCGCACGCGTTACCTGACATGAAAAACTGCTCGGGGGTCGCGGGAGAGCCCCGCGACGTCTGCACTGCGCGCAAGGGCCCACTCCACCTCGACAGCGCCTGCGCCTCGGCGTCGGAGGGCGCGGGCGATCCCCTGCCAGAGGTCTTCGCTGGCGCCAGGGGGAGGCGGCCAGCGACGGAAAAGACAGTGCCAATTCAATTCGCCAGCGCAGGAGCGGAAGCCGCAAGCTCAGCACGAGGCAGAGTCTGAAGAGAGCCTGCAAGGCCCGAAAAAAAGACCTCCCCACGGCTGCCAGCGGCCCAGATGGCGCTTGAAAGCGATCGCGGCCGACCCCACACGGCGACGGCGTGGATCTGCACTAAACAGGCCACCAGACCCGTCGCCGAAGGGAGCGAGGAGGCCGCCGCCACCCCTGCACCCCCCCCAGCCCCGCCCAACCGGACCCCGCCCACCGCGCCCACCCCCCACCCCCCAGGTCAGACAAGACAGCGCGCACATCAGCGCGAGCGGGGACGCCACGGAAGCAGCAGGCAGGCTGGGGCTCTGCCAAGGCCGACGGCATCCAAATGTCGGACCCCTCGTGGTTTCCGTGCCCATTGCTGCATGGGCCCAGCCATGCACGATGCATGAGATGCCCTACGGCCTCGCCGCATCGCTTGCAAGTGGCGTCGATCTCGCGGCCCGCTTCAGCCACGCAGCCCCTCGCCCATTGGCCGCCAGACACCGCGCAGAGGTCGAGGGCACAGCGGTGGCGGAGGCCGCCCATGAGGAACTTGACCATCTCGAGCGAGATATCACCGGCACCAGGTCCGCCGCGTCGGAGCCCGTCACCATCGGGATGCTTTGCCGCGGCCCCCCAGAGGTCAACCAAAAACGAGAGGACAAAGTCGCGCAAGAACTTCGCCGGGGCCACGCTGCAATGCCCCCCCCCCCCCCCCGCATCTGGCATCTGCCGGCGCGGGGGGGGGGGCGCGACTGTGGATGGGGATCGCCGGGCCTCGCGGGCCTCGGCCACTCCGCAGGGGGGGGGCACCCCCAACCCGCGTCGGCGGGGATCGCGACCACGGCAGAAATCGGCCCGACTACCTCGCGCCGCCTCTCCCTGCCGAGCTCGACCGCCTGCAATTTGGCCCTGCGCCCTGCCTGCTCGATGCGAAGGCGGCGCCGCGGATGGTCGAACCAGAACGTGAGCCGCTCGCGCAAAGACTGGCGCCCGAGATCCACGGCTGGGTCTTCGTCGCCGAGGGCGGCAGCCAACGCCGCGGGGAAGCATCTGCCCAGCGACTTGCCGCCAGTGGCCCGCAGCGCCCGTCGACGCTGCAGCAGCGCCTGCGACTGGAACAGGCCCATGATCTGGCGCCCGTAGGTGCCCTGTGGTCGGGGCCCAGCCCCCCGGAAGCCTCTCGCGACCTTGGCGAGCGAGGCGTGCTTGCGGAACTTCGAAAGAAGGCATCGCGTCCGAGCCCTCGCCTTGGACGCCCTGACCTGCGCCTCGGCGGAGACGCGCGGCTCGGCGCCTGCCGCGTCGATGCCCAGGTCGACGCAGCTGCCGGCGACCTCGACGCGCATCCCCCGCGCCCGCAACGCCACGTGCACGGACAAGGCGATGGCGCGGCTAGAAGCGACGATGGCGGTTTTGGGCGAGACCCCGAGCTCGGCCTCGACGAGCCCCGCGAAGAAGACGCCGCCGACGCCCACGAGGTCCCGCGCCATCTGCTTCTCCACGCCCTCGACGCGCGCCACGGCATCGCCTGCGAACGCCCGCGGGACCGCGCAGGTGGAGTTGGCGCGCGGCCGCTGCAAGATGGACTCGACGCATTCCTTCGCGAACATGCCCCCATGCGAGCTGCCAGACACGATCGACCGCCGGGGGGCCATCACCACGCCGGCCCGGCGGCGCGCGCGCAGGCGCCGCGGGGCGACGACAGCTCCACCTCGAGAGCGACCACGATGGCAGGAAAGCCCTGGTCGACGGCCACGCGCAGCAGGCGCAGCAGCATATAGACGCCGTCGTGGAATTTTCCGACGGCCACTAACAGCGCCGCGAACGCGACGCCGCTCTCCGCGCGCTTCGTCGAGGAGCGCGCGCGACAGAGCGGCGCGAAGGGCAGCCGCGCCCTGGAACTCACCGAGATGTTCTGACCACTGGCCCACGAACGGGGCGCGGAGCTGCTTGAAATCTTCGGCGCGGTCGCCAGGTTTCCGACGACGGCCTGGGCAGCGCCGCCCCGACCGTCGCGCAGACCTGCTGCGGCGAGCTCTTTGGGCGCCTGCCTCGGAGAGCTGCCGGGCGCCTGCTTCGGGGGACCTCTGAATGTCGGCGGGGCCGACGTCGTCGACGCCCCTCGCCTTCTCGGGGTCGGCCGCGCCGACCACTGCACGGATCTGGCCCGCAGTGATCTCGCCGAGCGGCCTCCCCCTCGGCACTCGCACGGATCTCTACGAAGGCCCGGCAGAGAGCCTTTCCGTCGCACGCGGGCGTCTTACACGTCGTTCCACATGCCGGCCGACGCTTGCAGGATGAGCGACGGCGCGAAAAACGCGGCGCCGTCGTTCGCAGCCTCGAGCTCCGGCGCGTTCGGGCCCTCGACGATCCCGCGGAGCTTGCCTGGGCCGCCCTTCCGGGCTGTCTTCGCCCACTGAAGGAACCGCTCGCGCGATCGTCGACGCGGGCATCAACGGACACACTCCTAGGGATAACTCAGCAATCGAAATCGCCCAGGGCAGACACTCTGATGAGGGTCGTCGCATAACGACACCCGGCTACGACGCCCTCCCGGGCGCGCATCGGACATGGCCACGACCACTTCCGAGCATCACAAACCTATCGGGCCCCGCCCTGCACCCAGCCAGACAGACGGAGGCAGCGGGGGCAGGGAAGCCGCGTCGACGGCACCTCAGGGCCAGGGCTTCAAGGGTGATACGTTCGCAATACTTGACGAAGTCCCAGGGCAGGGCACGGGCGTGGCCCGATTGCCTGCGGGCTCTCTCCGAACGGGCAGCCTGTCTCCGAACCGCGTCGCTGGCCGACGCGCATTGGCCAGCGGCCCGAGAAACGCGACGGTCGGCCGCCCCCCCCCCCGCCACACTGCGCCGCGAAACCGCGGCGGCACTTGCCCCAGAGGCGGCGCGAGCTAGGAGGGGCACCTATCGGGCGGAAGTCAGTCGAGGGCCCAGGTACCGTCGCGATGGCAGCACGACGTTGGACAGGAATCACCACGCCAACTGCATCACAAAGAAAAACCTCAAAAGGGCCGACAAGGCCCCGCCCGACAGAAGCGCAAAATGGCGCAGGTGGCAACCATCCAGCCCAACCGCCGACCGATGATCGAAGGTCTTCGACAACCTACGAAACTCGTCGATGGGGCTGGGGGGACGGGGTCATGTACATTCCGAGCTTGCTCGACAGGCATTTCCAGCGCCCCCCATGGACCTCTGGAACGGCGGGCCTCGTCGGCCAAAAGAGACCGCGGGCCGGGCGCCACGCAGCCAGCGGAACTGGGCGTCGCACTAGCCTTCCAGGCCTGCGGATCCTCCGTGAAAGAATAAACTCCCCTCCCTCCTTGATCCACCGACTCCGTCAGCCAGTCCGCCCAGCCTTTGCGAAACTGCACAGTGTAGAAGGCTGAACGCTCGTCGGCAAACTCGGAAACCAAACCCGCGAGATGATCGGCCCGATCCTGCACCATGCTATCCGAGAGAATTTCCTCGAAGCAATCCGAGGCAAACGCGGCCACTGTGCCGGGGGGTCTCAGGAACGCAGGGAAGGAGACCAGGGCGGGGCCATCGCCGTCGGGCCCAGCATCAGGAATGGCCCCAAACACACTCGCGGGGGGGCACTCAAAGGACTCGGGCCGCATCTCGAGCCCGAGGCCAATCCGCGCGCTGAACGGCCCCGTCGAAACGTTTGAAAGCACTCGCATGCCAGCGGCAGGCGCGGAGCTGGGGGCATCCGACGCCACCTCTGTCTTTCCCAAGCATCAACCTCCAGCGGGCGACGGGCCCCTTGCCCTTCGACCCCCAAACAAGCAGTTCGACCCCGAAAGTCCCCGCCAGCCCCCGCTCCTCCAAGCCAGTCTGGGAGGCGCGCGCCTCGCTGAATACCGTGGAAGCCATGGCCGCGTCGTCTCGACGACGGGCCCTGGTCTGCGCGGCGCCCAGCTGCGACTCCACTCGTTCGAGACAGAATGGCAAAGGCCGCGGCCCGAACGGCGGCGCTGACAGCATCGACGGCGGTTTCCTGAAGGCACGGCAGCACAGCTCGGCCATCCCAGCGTGGAACGTCAAACGCACATGACTGCGAGGGGGGGGGGCCTCCTCTCCAATAACAATTCCACCGACGGCCTTCGACGCCCCCGACGACAGGACGAAAAAATCTTACTCTTTGGCAACTCCAGTGCGACACGCAAGTTTGCCCGCGCAGATGGCCCGACCGGCGAGCGAACTAACGAAACTCGACCCCACGAGGGTGGACGGCCCCATGTCCCAATCTCCTCCGACAAGGAAGGGCACGCCGCGCGTGGATCCCATAGCCCCGACAGCCGACAGAGCGTCGAGATTCGCATCCGAGGGCCCCCAAACATCCTTCAGACACACTGGGCCCCCGCCCCCCCCCCCCCCAAAAAAAAAAGCAACAAAACAACTTCGCCCTACGGGGCATGCCCTTCGGCAGCAAGGGCCCTGTGGGCCACCGCGACCGAGCCAGATTTAGGCGGGCGCAGAAGCAAGGGTCTGCCGACACAGAATATCAACCCCAGCCCACGGGCCGCCCCCGGGGCCCTCGGCCGCCGCGGTCCACAAACTCATGAAACCGAGGTTCAAAGAGAAACAGAAGCACGGTGCAGGGCCCCCTGAAAAAAAAAACAGCTTATGTTCCTAAACCTAAATGACCTCAGCACTCGAGCTTGGAAGCCCGCCCTTCACCGAAACCTAAGAATTGCCGTTCACGGAGACGACGCCCAGACGAAACGACCATGTCTCTGGGGGGAGGGGCGAGGGGGCCCTTTAGCGGACGCTGAAAGCCAAGGAAAAAACAAAAGGGTCATTCACCTGTCCAGCGCGCAAGGCTGCTCTGAAGAAATCCTCAGCACGCGGCGTTCTGAATGCAACTCCGATACATTATCGAGCGCAAGAGAGAAGGAAGAAACAGAAAAACGCGCAGGCGGCTCGCAACAGAAAAACGCGCAGGCGTGAAGGCCTCAGATCTCAGCAAATCCGGTCGAAGTGGGCACCCCCTCCTGAGCTCGGGAGCCGCCAGGGGGGGCAGCCTGTTCAGGAGGGTCGCCAGCTCCCTCTGCTTCGACATGGACCCGTTGAGCGATGCGTTCAACTTCAGCGCGAACACGATCTGCTGCCGCAGCGCCAGGAGGGGAGGCGGCCCCCTCGACCGAGTTGCCCAAGGCGTCGCCGGGCATGGACGCCGCGCCCCTTCGCCACCTCCCGAAGCACCGGCTGGAAGGTCTCCTTCTGGGCCGCGGCTCCGCTTGCCTGCGATCTTCTTGAGGCACTGCTCATGCCCCTTCTTGACCGCCTCCGCTCGGGCCACGGCGCTCTCGAAGAGCTGCTCAGCCGCGTTGGCGACGTGCTCCTTGAACGGGGCGCGGCACTTCTCGACCTCCTCGATGACCGACCGACCGCTCCAGCCCGGCGTCGCCTGGGAGGTCGCTGAAGTGGCCGCCGTCGTCGATCATGTCCGCCACCTTGCCCGCCACGAGGTCTCGAAGAACCAGCGCAGGACCCGGCGCCGCTGCAGCATGGACGGGCTGTTCAGGTGGAGCAACCTCACTGTGCAACTTGACGACCAAGGGGCGGCGCTGCTCGATGATGGCCTTGGACCGGTCGGACAGATCGCGTAAGAAAAGATCCTGCTTGCGAACACCTTCCACCCACCGATTGTATTTGGCCAGCTCCGACTCCATCTTTCCGTCAGGCTTCGTGATCTCCCGAGGAAGGTCCGACACTTGATCTCGAAGAGGCTTCGGGGCTGGCTTGGACTTCGCCGTGAGGGCGTCGATCTTGGACTGGTACTTCTTCGCGGTCTCGTCGTCGCGGCACGCCTGCCGAGGGAGACCAGCATCTGCAGCTCGGTAGACCCCAGTGGGCCTGACGCGCCCCCACCTGCAGCACCAGCGCCTCCACGGGCAGCGTCGCCGAGGGGAAGAGGACCTGCTGGGAAAGCTGGCCATGTGCCAGGCGCGACGGGGCCTGGAGCCAAATACTGCCCGTAGTGACGAGACCGTGCACCGCGAGGATGAGAAGGGTGAGCAGGAGCAGGGGACTGCCGCTGAGCGACGAACTGCTTGCAGTAAGCTGCCATAACCGACGTCTTACCACACCCACAGTACACACTCTTCCAGCGCTCCTGCAGCCCACCGCCTGAACTGCCTGCGCCCTTGCCGCCGCCGTGCTGCGCCAGGTGCCAGGGCGGGGGTGGGCTGCCGTGCCAGAGGGAGTCCCCTTGGCCTTTGCCACCGCCGCCGCTGCCACCATGGCGCCACAGGACACACTGGAAAGGTTCCCAACAAATTGGCCCGCTGACATCAAGTGCGATTTTGCGAGGCGGGGATTTATCCATATCCACCACCTGGGAACCGACATCCTGGTGCCCCCGCGAGCAGTGGATATGGACATCTTTCGGCCCCCGGGGTCCGAATATGTCCATAGCAAGGAGGAGGAGGGACAGGAGGAGGAGGAGGAGGACCAGTGTAAACCCAAGAGTCATCAACGATGTTGGAATAAACCCTCCCTCCAACCTCTCTTTTTCCATCGGGCCTTACAACTGTCCATTCCACTGAAGAATCTAACTCGTTGGAAGACAACTACCTGAAGACCCTGAGGCATGCCAAAACATTGTTCTCGGGATTTCAAAACCACGTATCCACTTGACTGATGCGTCTTGACGATCCTGATTCGTGCCAGAACGCCATCCCTGGAACTTCAACTCCGCGAATCCATGTAATTGTCGCACCCCATAACACGAATCCGTCCAACACACCATGTCTGGTACGCTGATCATGGGAATCCGTACTCTTGCAACTATTCCAAACCATCCTGTGGTTTGGGTCCTCGTTTTCAGGAGACAGCGCCCCGCGTCACCTCCTCCTCCTCCTCACTCCTCCTCCCCTTCCTCCATCCTCCTCCGCGAGGTACTGGTGATGCGTCAGGAATGGTGTCGGGGGGAACCTGAGCAATTTTAGCACAGCCGCATGCGGGGACCGCCGCCCACTTTGGCACACCCCTCACACGGTCCGTGGCCCCACAGGGATCTCCACCGAAGGCCCCAGTGGCACAGGCCGCATGCGGGGACCGCCACCCATTTTGGCACACCCCTCCCACGGTTCGTGGCCCCACAAGGGGGCTCCACCGAAGGCCCCAAGGGCACAGGCCGCATGCGGGTACCGCCACCCATTTTGGCACACCGCTCTCACGGTTCGTGGCCCCAGAGGGAGCTCTACCGAAGGCCCCAGTGGCACAGGCCGCACGCGGGGACCGCCATCCATTTTGGCACACCGCTCTCACGGTTCGTGGCCCCGCAGAGAGCTCTACCGAAGGCCCGAATGAATCAGGTTGCATGCGGGGACCGCCACCCATTTTGGCACACCCCTCACTCGTGCCGTGGCCCCAGGGAGCTCCGCCGAAGGGCCGCATGCGGGGACCCCCACCCATTTTGGCACACCCCTCCCACGGTTCGTGGCCCCACAAGGAGCTCCACCGAAGGCCCCAAGGGCACAGGCCGCATGCGGGTACCGCCACCCATTTTGGCACACCCCTTACACGGTTCGTGGCCCCACAGGGAGCTCTACCGAAGGCCCCTCAAGGAGCTCCCCTTTTTCGTCCCAGCTGACCTTGGTTGCGTCCTTCGCCATGTTTTAACGAATGTGCGCGGCGCTCAAGCGAGAGCCACATTTTGAAAACCACCCGCCCTCCATCTGTGAAACTGTTGCCATTTTTGAAGCGTCAGGATCATAAGTGGTGGGGAAGTCTCAGGCGAAAAGCCCAGCCCGCACTGAAAACTGGCCCCGGGGTGCGGCAGGGAGAAATCATTTATAAGGAAAAGGAATGGAGGAGGAGGAGGAGGAGGAGGAGGAGGAGGAGGAGGAGGAGGAGGAGGAGGAGGAAGGGCAGGAGGAGGACGACGACGAGGCCCCTTTTTGTTCCCGTACCCGTTTCGGGCGCCCCATTCTGCGCGTGACCGCACCCCGCCGAGGCCTGCTGACCCCCGGCGAGTCCCCCGCGGCCCGCGTGGCCACGACCGCGGCGACGACGGAGCCCAGCAGCGCCGCAGCGGCCACCGAGACGTGCACCGCGCGCCCCCCCAGGAGCCGTGGGGGCGCCGGCGCGGAGGGCGCCGCTGGCGGCTCGGCCTCCTGTAGAAATCAAAAAAAAACACCCCCATGATAAGCACCCCGACACGCGAAGTCGTTCAGTACACGCGCCCAAAGAAGGAATCCAACAGAGCAGGGCTGTTCAGTAAACGCCCAGGGCCGTTTCGTAAACGCCAATTGCCTGGTCCGGGTGGTTTTTCCTCCCTGGATTCGGGAGCGGCCAAGAATGCGCCACGAAACCTGGGGAGATATCATGGCCCCCGCCATGAGATCCACCCCCCCCTAGTCCTCACCCCCCTCTTTGCCGCCCCCGATTGATCCTGGTACAGGCGGACCTGCGGCAGACCCCCCGAGGTCCTGGCGCCTCAACTTTTTGTCGAGCGGGCGCTGCCGCCCCTTTCGTCGAGCCCCGGGGCCCTCCTCGCGGGTCGATCCGGCTCGGAGAATGGCGCAGGAGGATGGGCGTCGCAGGGCTCCGGGCAGGATTTGTTACAGTGCTGCATTTGTCCCGCGACGTCGATCTCAGTCGGGTCGGGCGAAAGGGGGGGATAGCAAAGGGGGGGGTTGAGAATCAGCTCACGTAGCTGATTTTCCCGGCGCCTCCCGGCGCCAGAGGCGGCTATGTATCGAGGAATGGGCCCCTCGGTGAGGCCGAAACCAGCTGCATGCAGCAAATTTCGTAACCCCCCCTTTCCCAATCCCCCCCTTTCGCCCGGCCCGACTCAAGGGAAGAACATTCGGCTCGGCCTCCTGGTACGGTCGAACCTGCGACAGAAGGGAACATCCGGCTACGGTCATCCCGTGTGCTGAGGACGCACGATGAGGCTGCAAGGGCCTTGAAGGCCATTCCGAAGCTTTCCGAGCGGGGCGGCGCGGCCAACAAGGGTGGCCAAGGACGGACCGAGGAAGCAAGGATGCAGGGGTTCTCTTGGGAAGCTTGCCCATCCCTTACCCTGCGGATTGACTGCAGACGCAGGAGTGACCCAGGCCAGAGTGGCATTTGGTGCGAGAACTTCGGGGGACGCGGGAAAGCCAAACCCGAGCGCGCAAGGCGCTGCCATCGTATCGCGTTCGGTCATCTGGGGACCCCAGTGTGCCCGCAAAGGTCACTCCAGTGAAAGGTCACTCTTACGCGTAGCCAAAACACCTACTAAGAACACGAGACCTTTCGCCGGCCAAACTGAAGAACAATCGAGGGCACCCTCCCCCAGGATGCACACGAGCATCCAGCAAGCACGAAGAACACTAGGGTACCCACCCCGAGCCGGCCTCGATCTCATGCCTCGGTCCGATCGTAGGACGAAGCCAGGACGAGGACAACATCGGGTGAGGATCCTGCAGGATCCTGCGAGCTGACCTATGTCAGTGCAACCCTGGCTTTGCAGGACCCTACAAGATCCGGCGCTCTGGCTGACCCCCATTTGCATTAACTCCCATCTCAAGGCTCCCAATGAATCGCGAATCTCTGGGATCCGGCGGCTCCACAAGATGCATCGGGCACCACGGTCTTCTCAGAGCGTTCCGGAACTAATTTATCCTCGTCCTGGCCCCACCCGAGCTGGGGGGGGCGAAACGAGAACTGAGGCATCTTTTCGGACTACCGATCACGAACAGCGAAATCAACGACAAAACGAACAGTCCAATGAAACGCAATCGGAAGTTCGAAAGACGACGTCTGCGCGAAACGAAACGAACAACGAAACGAACCGCAGAATGAACGGAGCAAGCAAAACGAAATACGAAGCACAACCCTGGAATCGCGGCAAGACAAAACGAACAACGAAACGCGCACCAAAAAAAAATCAATCGAGTTAAAACACAAAGCGAAAACCAAACGAAACACCACGAAAAACAAAACGAAATACAAAACAAGGGCCAACACCAAACTAAACAGCTCTGTGCTCGGTCCATGGATAACTGCCGACCCTGGTATTGCAGACGGGCTAAAATGAAAACAGACTCGGATTCCTGCAAACGAAGCACCCCAAAACGGCAAGCGAAAAACGCAGTTTCACACGGATTGTTGCAAGTCCCATTCCCCGACTGAAATAGAAACCCGCTCGAAGCTCACTACTCGACAATCCGGCACGGAACTCACAAGAAAATTCTGAGCTCTGCCTTACCATTCCTATCGGAATCCGCTCTGCGAAGAGGGCGCCATGATGCCGCCGCTCCACTAGATGCCTCCCAGGTGATGCCGAAGCAGAGGGTGCCGGGAGTGCGTCCTCGGGACCAGGAGCTCGAAGCGAATCCGGCCGTGGCGAGGAGGGAAGGGCCTGCGCGAGGCGACGCCAGCCGTGGCGGCGAGGGAAGGGCTTGCGGGGCCTGCGGTAGCGGAGCCCTCTCCATCTTCATCTGGCATGAAGGAAGCGGGTCCCGACGGAGACGAGTCCTGGACCACGGGGGGGGGCCTGCCCTCCCCCAGGACCTGCTCGGTTCCCCATCCTGGAGTGGTTTCTGGCAGTCCTGGGGCCCGTGCAGGGCCCCTGGAGGCCAAAACCACTGCAAAACCTCGGGACCCGCTCCCCTCGGGACCCGCTTCCTCTTCGGGCCGCCCGCCCTCGGGCCGCCACTCGGGCCCCCGGCGACCGCTCGCGACGAGTCGGGAAGCCCTGGAACGCTCTCGGCGAGGCGCCGCTGCTGAGAGGCACCCCCGAGGCTGGAAAACCACCGAGAACCGCTGAAAACACGAGAACACCTCGATAAAACGGGGCTAGGATCGGGATAAATCGCTCCAGAGCGTTCCGGAGCGCTCTCAGAGCGTTCGGGAACGCTCTGGAGCGGCCGCGGCGCCCAATACGTCCTCCAAACCCGCCGATTCTCAGAGATTTCGAGTTATCCCGATCCGATTCTGTCCCGATCTTCGCGTCCTTTGACTCGAGCCCTCGAACCCGTTTCGCTCGGGGCGACGGGTCTCCTCCCCGCGGCGGCCCTCGGGCTCGGGCGCTCCCGACAGCGGCTCCGTCTCCTCGGCCGCCTGCGCCCCCGGCTCGGGCAGCGTCGGGGTCCAGATCGCGGGGTCGAGCACCTCCGTCACCTCCAGAGGGGACCCCTCTTCCAGACTTCGTCGGCGTTCGAGTGGGCCAAACCGTTTTTGGATCTGCGGGGCGAGAGCGAGCCTCTTCCGCTGAAAGCTAGGCGGGCTGCGCACAGCTTGAATTAGGGAGACAGGGCACAGGAAGGCGGGGCCTCAGGCGGCCAGAGCGGGCGGGGCCCGGGGAGCAGGCGGTGCCGAGTGGACCATACAGTTGGGGCCCAAGCTGGGGATATGACAACGGGGAAGCGTTCATCCTCGATAGGGGCGCGTCCGAAGGGCTCCCTGGGGGTGTACCCCCGAGTCTCCCTCCTTCCCTAGAGGCCTCCTGGCTGGGATACGAGTAGACGGGGTCGGAGGATCGCGCCGCATCGGCACTGCATCGGCGACATCGGCGATGCAGCGGCGCCGTCGGCGTGGAAAAATCCTGGCTCCGCATCGAGCCGCATCGTCGATGCATCGGCGATGCGGATCAATCCTCCGACCGCATCTGCCCCGGCCCCCTCTGGGAGGCGCAGATCTGCGGACCTCTCCCCGGGGTTGTGCTGCTCCCATCGTACCTTGGGGGCCACGTCCCAGAAATACCTGCGAGCGCCCAGAAAAAAGAATCGAAACGCTGCCTAACGAGTACCTCGCCTCCCCGGGCCCGACGCGGGACGACCCTCTCAGGTGTCGGTCCCCTCTTGGTGCTCGAAAGTCTTTCTGGTGATCAAGGCTACCCATCGGTCGGAAGGAGTAGGTAGTTTTCAAACATGAAGCAGGGAGGCGAGGAAAGTAGATGGGGTCCCGCCCGCCCCCGAGGGAGGACGGAAAAGCCGAAGCCTCTCTCGATCATTGAAGTGGGAAGGCGCTTCTGCTGTCAACGACCCATGGGCAGGTTGGAACATCAGAATTCCCAGGGTGCGTCCTGACTTTACCAGCCTCGAACGTATCCCTATCCCTAAGATTGACACGCCAAAAGGCGATGACAATCTTAGGGATTCGCCCTCAAAGAATAAGGGAATCCCTAAGATTGGCGTCGTGATGAGGAGGTGCCCAGCATAGGGATACGGAACAACCACCCCCGCCCCCATTTGTTTCCGAAGCGAAGGTGGATGCTCGCGCGCCTTCGAGGCCCCGAATCGGATCGGGAGCGGATTAGTGAGTGGCTTTGCTCTCGCAATCGCTCGGACGTCCATTCCCCGCGCGTGCTTCGATTTCGTGCGTGAATAATTTTCGCGAGATGAACCGATATGCTCCTCGATGGCCCTCGATGCGAAAAAATGAACACGTCCGAGCGATGCCAAGTGCTGTGGACGCCCGAAATGAATTACGGACAAATTGTGCACGATACCAAACCACAAATATTGTCCAACACCGACTGCTGCCGCTATTGGGCAGGCGGCCTTCTGTCTCCAATTGACAACGTCCGCGGCGACACCGACAGCGAGTCCTGCTTAGAAGGAAGAGGGAATGCTGCTGGTCTTCTCGGTGGTTCAAAGATAAGATGGGGTCCTGAGGGATGGGGTCCTGAGGGGGAGGTGCCTCAAACAACGTAAACCCACCCTCGGATCCCTTCTCATCCTTACACGCCAGTCGGAAGAAGTAGGTAAAAGCATCAAGCGGGAAGGCGGACAAAGCAGTTTGGGTCCAGGCCCTCCCAGAGAACAACAGAACACAGCGAACGCACATCGGTTCTTGAAGCAGGAAGGCGCCTGGAGCAGATGGGAGCTTGGAAATCCAGGAATACCAGCTGTCAGCGACCGACGCGCAGGCCCCCCCCATCCCTCAGAACCCCACCTTTGCACCACCGGTCGTTGCACCCGTGCTCGCCGCAACCATTTCGCGATGGTCCCCATTGTGCGTTTCCTCCCCTGTCCGGGCGCGCGGGGGGGGGGGGGATTTCTTGCGCCCACCCCCCCCCGCCCCAGAGCGGGGACGGGGGAGGGCCATGCGCCCCCCCTCTGCTCCAGGGCGGGAGGGGAATGGGGGGGCTCCTGCCCGCGATCCCTTTGTTTCTATAGAATAGGAGATCCACTACGGAACTGATTTACCCCAGTGTGAACTGTTTCGTCGAATCTCCAAAAAAAAGTGGAATGTTCGCGGGTATACGAATCAGCTGGCGCAGGTGTCGTAGATCCGACGGAGAGAACAATCGGCAACGCCAACTCTGCAGTCGACATCCTTCTCGACTCGTACGGCGGTGGGGGTGGCCCTTCCCAGCCGCGCAGCAGAGGCAGGACCGCAACGCTGCAGCGGCGACGGGCTGCTTCCTGACGCGTCACGGCGGGTGCGCGCGGCAGCGCGGTGGATATATATATATATATATATATATATATATATATGGGGACCCCATCACGTACGGCATGCCGCCACCCAGTGTGGAGCACGCTGTATCGCTGCCTATCGCTACCTATGATGGCGCACGTCGATGCTTGTAGGTCCGCGGGTGCCAAGTGGTCCAAGACAGTCAGACGCTGGTCAGCAGGCGGCGGGATGCACCCAGAGCGAATCGAGGTAGCAAAGCGAAGAGGAGCAGAACGCGAGGGGGGGGAAGAGAGAGGAGCCCGCTCAGACCGTGCAGGCCGGCGCGGGCCTGCGCAGAAGAGCTCTAGCGCACGTCGATGCCGCAGATGGGCGAGAACTAGCCTTAAGTCGGGCCTGTCCCCCCACAGGGGGATTTTCGACGAAAAATGAAAAATATCCCAAGAATAACCCCAAAAGGTCACAAAATACTCCCAAAATAGTCCCCGGACTATTTTTGGACTATCTTTTGATCATGTTCGGGGTATCTTTTATTTTTCGTCGAAAATCCCCCTGTAGGGGGACAGGCCCGACTTAAAACTAGCCAGCACGGTGGAGAGGGGGGGGCGGAACTAGATCACTGGGTTCCAGGTCGGCCCCGCGCGCGCCCCGCGGGGGAGGAGGCGAGGAGGGGAGAGAGGGGGGCGGGATCGGATCGAGTCGGCAGGAGGAAGCGCCGTGCCCCGCAGCGCCGCCTGCCCCCCCCCCCCCCCCCCCTAAGGGGGGGCCGCAAGGATGGAGCCTTCGGCTCCACAGAGATCGGTGATCCCGAGAACGTACGTGAACGCCAGCTTGGGTCTGTCCATCGAGACCGTTCCATACGAGGCAGGCGGTGTAACGATCTACTGGTGGGGCTCAACAGGGCAAACACACACACACACACACACACACATTGGGCTGCCTCACGTCCAGAATATCATCGGAAAAAAAACAGCTGGGGCAGTAGCTGTATACCGCCCCGCCCGGCGGCCAGAAACCACGCAGGCCGCAACCGTTCCACCCAAAGGGGGCGGGAAGAGGAGGTCCTCGCCTGCCAGATGGGGGTCAGACCTCGGAGAGTCAGAATCGGCGAAGGGATAACCAAAGAAACAACAGTTCCTCCGAAAACTACCCGCCTGGACCCAAAAGTTGTCCAAAGGAATTGCCCCTGAAAGAAACCAGGAAGAGATAGCTTTGATAAACATACGGCCCCGAACAAGGTAAACCCAGGGAGTTGAACGTATCTTCTCCTGGACCCCAAGAGGCTGACCCCCAAGAGGCTGACCCCCAATAGCAGGCGAAGAAGAGGATGGAGTGGAGGAAAAGGAAAAAGGATGAGGAGGAGGAGGAGGAGGAGGAGGAGGAGGAGGAGGAGGAGGGGAGGAGGAGAGGGAGGAGGAGGAGGAGGAGGAGGAGGAAGAAGAGGAGGAGGAGGAGGAGAAGGAGGAGGAGGATGAGGAGAGAGGAGGGAGGGGGGGGGAGGGGGGTAGGAGGAGGAGGGGGAGGGGAAAGGAGGAGGAGGAGGAGGAAGAGGAGGAGGAGGAGGAGGAGGAGGAGGAGGAAGAGGAGGAGGAGGAGGAGGAGGAGGAGGAGGAGGAGGAGGAGGAAGAGGGGAGGGGGGGGGGTCGAGGAGGAGGAGGGAGGAGGGGAGGGACGGCTTGAGTACGGTAATCGGAGATCCCGGGGCACCTCCGGCGTGAGGTCGCCATTGAAGGCCATGAAGGCATCGCTGTCCACCTGGAGGCATCCAACAGGGGTGCCAGGGTCTGGCCATCGCTCGGACGTCCATTTCCTGTGTTTTTTGCCAGTTTCGTGCATGGTTTTTTCGCGAAATGATCAAGGATGCTCCTCGATGGTCCTCGCCGGGGGAGAAAAAAACAAAAACAAAAAAAAAAAAAAAAAAAAAAAAAAAAAAAAAAAAAACGTCCGAGCGATGCCAAGGGGTTCGAGTAGCGGGGCGGTGCGAGCCTCCGACAGCGGCGACGGGGGAAGGGCCTGCGCGAGGCGAGGCCAGCCGCAGCGGCGAGGGAATGGCTTGCGGGGCGTGCGGCAGCGGAGCCTTCTCCATGCAGTCTGGCATGAGGAAAGCGGGTCCCGATGGAAACGAGTCCTGGACCCCGGGGCCTCTCCCCAGGACCTGCTCCGTTCCTCATCCTGGAGTGGTTTCGGTCAGTCCTGGGGCCCATGGAGGGTCCCGGGAGGCCAAAACCACTGCGGAACCTCAGGACCCGCTCCCCTCGGGACCTGTTCCCTTCTTGGGCCGTCCGTCTTCGGGACGCAACTCGGGCCTCCGGCGACCGCTCGGGACGACTCGGGAACTCCTGGAGCGCTCTCGGCGAGGCGCAGCTGCCGAGAGGAGGAGGAGGAGGAGGAGGAGGAGGAGGAGGAGGAGGAGGAGGAGGAGGAGGAGGAGGAGGAGGAGGCACCCCGAGGCTGGAAAACCACCGAAGGCCGATGAAAACATACGAGCACCTCGAACCCTCGAGCCCGCTTCCCTCGGGGCGACGGGTCTCCTTCCCGCGGCGGCCCCCTCGGGCTCGAGCGGCGCGATCCTCGAACGCCGTCGGCCGTCAGCTCCGGCCCCGTTCGGGCAGGCCCGGCGCCACCCCCTGGCGGTCGTCCTCGGGCGGCGCGCACGAGAGCACGGCACGGGGGGCGGGGCACGGGGCGGCCTCTTTTGCTCGGGGGGGTCTCTCGGAGGGGGGGGTGCGCGCGGGGCGCGGGCGCGGGGCAGGGCCACTGCGGCCTCGCCCGCCTCCTGCATCCAGTGGCCACCACGACGACGAAGACGACGACGACGACGACGACGAGGAAACCAGGACGACGACGACGACGACGAAACAAAAACGACGGCGGCGGCGGCGGCATCACGGGGGGCCTCTCAGAGGGAATTCACCGGGCTTCTGCCGCGGGCTCCTGCTGACAAGCAGCACAAGTACCCCCAACCCTTTAGGAGGGGGCCTGGGTCAGGGCAGGGAGGCCGAAAACAGTAGGGACGGGGGGCCCCTTTGCGAAAGGCGTCACAAGCGAAGCCACTCATGCGATCAGGGAGGGGTCCCCAAAAAATGCCTCAAAATTAGGTCACGACTGCCTTGTGTTGTTTGATCGCTTCGCTCACTCCGCCGGCCCATTTCGCATCACGGTGGCTGCGTGGTGGTGTGCTCGTGCCCAGGGGGACGGTAGAGCAGGCAGGCCGGTCGTCGAGAGATGCGGCTCGCACCCTGTCCAAGAGAGAGCCGACGGGCTGCCCCAGAGGGCGCCAAGATGGCCCAAGAGAGCTCCAGTAGCGTTTCGAGACGTACCTGGGCTGCGGGTCAGAGTCCTCACGGCTGCTTCTTGGGGTCTCCTCGGAGGGAGCCGCTAGCAGTTTCGAAGCCTCTGGGGAGCCTCTTGGGGGCTTCTTGAAGGCATCTTAGGGCTTCATGGGGGCCTGTTGGGAGTCTTGGGGGCTTCTTTTGGAGTCTCTTGGGGGCCTCTTGTGGCCTCTTGGGGGGCTCTTGGGGGCCTCTGGAGGCTTCCTGGGCGCCTCTTGAGGCCGAGAGCTCGAAATATATGCTCAGGTTCCCCCTCTGGGCCCCCTCTTGGGGCCATGCTGCGAACGTCTTGGAGGCCTCGTAGGCCGTCTTAGGGTCATCTTGGGCCATGTGGGAGCCCTCTTGGGCCGTCTTGGAGCGATATCGGGGCCTCTCCCTCACGGAAGGCAACCCGCCCGATCAGAACCCGCTCGAGGCCCAGCAGGACCAGAGGTCCCGCCCCCCTGGCCGGCTCTTCGAGCTGCGCCCAAGCGTGGCCACGAGTCGGAGGCGAGCGAGGTTCGAACTTCGAGGTTCGAGGTTCGAGGCGGTTTTTCATCGGTTTCTGCCTCTGGAGGCCGTTTTCGGGCCTTGAGACCCCCGAAACTCGATCCGGGGTGAAAAACCGCGTCGGATGGACCACGAGAGGGGTCTGGGGACCGATTTTGGCCGACATTCGGCGGCAAGCGAGGGGGGGAAGGCAAACTAGGTGCGCTCGCGTCATATCTGACGTCCTGCCCCTCCCTCCCCTCCCATCCCTTACCATTGTATTAGATATCCTCTCTATTCGCACAATCGGATGTCGTAGCATGGCATAGCATACATGGCATAGCATGGTGTCGAAGATCAACGCGTAGCATGACATAGCATGGCGTGGCGACGCCCCAAGGTGGAGGAGGCTCCTGCGGCGCAAATGATCAACGAATCGGCATCGAATGTGGAATCACTTCCGATGGTTTCTTTGGGAGGCCATGTTCTAGATTTGGGATCCTATTTGGAAGGACCGATAATCATGCCGTGGCATGGCGCTGGAAATAATGACGCCAGCGCTGCAGCGTGAGCACGATTCGGAACGAGCGGAAGCGCGGAAATGAGGCCAGCGCTTCAAAGAGAGCAGCACCTAAAAAATAAAAACAAACAAACAAACAACCAACAAAAACGAAAACCCAACTCCCGGGAATCCTGTGTAAAACACCAGTACGCGGAGGGGGGCCAGACATTCCACGGACACCACCAGGGGAGAGAGGAGCGTTGCTGATCACCCTCGCGCGCCACTTGCACAAAGGCCGCCGGTGGTCGAGCTCCGAGGCACGGTAGCCGCTCCCAGAAATGTGTATGTAGTATTTCTTTTGCCAATGCGCATTCCAGGCGCGGCTCTTGAGTGAGTGAGTGCGTGAACTGTGAAGCAGAAGGCCCTCTCAGAAGGCGGCGGGGCTTCTCAGAAGCCCTCGCGCATTCTGAAAGGCTTCCTTCACCAGCCTGGAACATATCCCTATCCCTATGCTGGGCATCTCCTCAGCACGATGCCAATCTTAGGGATTCCCCTATTTTTTGAAGGCGAATCCCTAAGATTGTCATCGCCTTTTGGCGTGTCAATCTTAGGGATAGGGATACATTCGAGGCTGGTAATTCCTGCGTCTCCGGGGAGGGCTTTCAGGAAGCTGCTCAGCAGGCTGGGGGGGACTTCCGCGGCTTCTCCGTGGAGACCGGCCCCTCTCGGACTCCCGCGCCCCACAGCATACAGGGCAGCTTTTAATACATAGGAGTTGTTGTAATACATCGGATGTTTTTTACATGACTAATTCAATGATAAATTGATGCATGATCTCATCGTTGTTTTGAATACTAAATCCCTGCATGTTTAAGACATGATCCGCACGCGGAGCATCTATAAAAAAACGGCACTGTGAGCAGAAAGTTGCGGAGGCCTGCGCAGGTTCCTGGGACCGGCGCCCGACCCCCCGTCCCTGGCCCTCGGAGCGCGCGGAGGCGCCGCTATGGGGGCCCAGCGCAGATCCGCAAACCGTGCCTCTGGCACGAAGCGGAGTGCCCCAGGACTCACGCAGCACTGAGAGATAGAGGCTGTGCCCCTGCGGCAGCCAGACTTGTGAATCTTTCAGGGCCCGCACCAGCTGTTTCCCAGGCCGTCATGGGCCGTCCCGAGGTTTCCCAGGCTGCCTCCCGTCGTAAGTTCTGGAATGTTTCCTGCAAGTCCTCTGGACGCTGTGCCCCCAAGTCGCCGAACGATCGCTCCAAAACGCTCAAGATGGCCCCCAAGCGGCCCAAGAGGCCTCCAAGACGCCCCAAGAGGCCTCCAAGAGGCCTCCCAAAAGAGCCCCAAGAGGCCAAAATCATTAGTTTCCCCAAGGTTCTTGGAAAGTGTGGGCTTTCTCGCCTTTTCGTCTTCCCGACGCTCCCTGACGGCCCATAGAGGCCCCAGCGACCGCCCCAAGATGGCCCACAAGGACTCCAAGAGGGCCCCAAAACAGCCCAAGAGGGCCACAAGACGGTCCTGGAGCGCCCAAGACGGCCCAAGGACCAAGAGGGCCCCAAGACGGCCCCCAAAGGGGCTCAAGAGAAGGAACACAAACCGAAAATCCCAGAGTTCTGCCCCACGAGGCCCCCAGGAGGTCCCAAGAGGCGCCGGGGGGGCCCCAAGAGGCCTCCGAGAGGCCCCCACGAGGCCGAAAAGAGTCCCCAAAAGGCACCAAAACGAACCCGAAGATGACCCAAAACGGCACCCAAAAGGCCTCCAAACTGCCTCCAAGAGGCCCCCGAGAGGCATCCCACGAGATGCCGACGAACATCAAATAGGCTGCATACCCACAACCCAGGCACGGTGGCGGGATGGGACGAAGTCCATTAGATCCGCCGCCCCCTGTTGATTCATCACAGGGGTGCCTGGCGTGCTAGATGATTTCGGTTTTGGTTGGCCCCTGGGGCTCCCGCGCGGCCCTCTGGCCACCCGAAGACCCGGTTGCAAACGGTTTTCCTGCCCCAGGCGGCCCCAAGATGGCCCAAGATGGCTTCCAAGACGGCTAGGATGGCCCCAATATGCCTCCAAGACGGCCCAAGATGCACCTAAGACGGCCTAAGCTAGCCTCAAGATGGCCTCAGACGTCCCAAGAGGCCCCCAAGAGGCCTCCCAGACGCTCCAAGAGCTCCTCCAGGAGGGCCCGAGGAGGCCAAAATCTTTGATTTTCAAGACGTGTTTGAAGGATTTTTGGCATTTGCGTCTTTTCGATATTCCGACGGCTGAAAACGGCCCAAGAGGCCCCCAAGATTGCCCCAAGATCGCCCCAGAGGCCTCCAAGAGCGCCCCAGGACGGCCCAAGAGGCCCCCAAGACGGCCCGAAGAGGGCCCCAAGACGGCACAAGAGGCCTCCAAGACGCCCAAGATGGTCTCCAAGACGGCCATCCTGCACCCCAAGAGGGCCCCAAGTCGGCCCAAACAGGCCCCCCAATCGGCTTCCGACGGCGTCAGACGTGCCAGGAGCCCACCAAGATGGCCGAAGTTGGCTCGAAGCTGGCCCAAGACGGCCCAAGAGGCCCCCAAGAGGGCCTCCAGGAAGGGCCATTGATTTTCCTAAGGTCGTTGACGGATTTGGACATTTGCTTCGTTTCGGCCTTCCGACGGCCGATACGGCCCAAGAGCCCCCAAAGATCGCCCAAAGATCGCCCAAGAGGCCTCCAAGATGGCCCCAGAACGGCCCAAGAGGCCCCCAAGACGGCCCCAAGAGGCCCCAGGAGGCTTTTAAGACGCCCAAGATGGTCTCCAAGTTGGCCCTGGAGCATTCCAAGAGGGCCCCAAGTCGGCTCAGAGAGGCCCCCCAAACGGCTTCCGACGGCGTCGCACGGGCCAGGAGCCCACCAAGACGGCCGAAGATCGCACTAAGATGGCCCAAGACGGTCCAAGAGGCCTCCAAGAGGGCGTCCAGGAAGGGCCGAAAAGGCACACAACATTGATTTCCCATGAGACGGCCCAAGTGCCCCCAAAGATCGCCCAAGAGGCCCAAGACGGCCCCAAGAGGCCCCCAAGACGGTCCAAGAGGCCTCCAAGACGCTCAAGATAAAGGGCCCCCAGGACACACAAATAAATACACACAAATAAACCTCTGCCGCATATTTTCCTATATTTTTTCAGGGTTTCTGTCTTCCCCCCCACTGCCCATATTTTCCCATATTTTGCTGGGAATCGACGATTAATTGTGTCTGTGTGTTTCTTTTCCTCCTGACAAGATGGCCTCCAAGAAGGCCCAAGAGCCCTCCAAAACGTCATCCAAGAAGGGCCGAAAGTGTCAAAATGGCCTCCAGGCGGCCAAGATGACCTTCAAAATGCCCACGTGTTCCCCGAAGGCTTTCCAAACCGATTCGGGGAACACGTGGTCCGATAGCTTGGCAGGTCTGGCCTCAAGGTTCGGCCACATAGGCGCTTCCAAAAAGGCAGGGGACGGCGGTGATTCGCCGTAGGCGTCTTCGATCCGCCGCCCCCTGTTGGCGTGCCACAGGCGTGCCCGGCGTGCTAGATGCTTTCGATGTGGGTTTTGGTTCTTTTCCAAAAGAACTCCCCCTGGGGCTGCGGCCGATCCCGCCAGGGTCCCGGAAAGGCCCAGAAACCACCTCAACCGCAAAAAGTTCTCCAAGACGGCTCAAGGTGGCCTCTAAGATGGTCACGTTGGCCCAAGATGGCCAACAAGATGGCCCAAGATGGCCTCCAAGTCGCCAAAGATGGTCCAAGATGGCTTCCAAGACGGCCCGAGAGAGTCCAAGATGCCTTCAAGTTCATCCAAGAAGCCTCCAAGACGGCGCAAGATGGCTCCAAGATGTCCTAAAACTGGCCAAGAGGCCCCCAAGAGGCCTTCAAGACGTCCCCCAGGAAGGCCCGAAAGGGCAAAAATCTGTGATTTTCCTGAGGCGTTTGAAGGATTTTGGCATTTTCTTCTTATCAGCTCACCGACGGCGCAAGACGGCCCAAGAGGCCCCCAACATCGTCCCAAGAGCGCCCAAGAGGCCTCCAAGATGGCCGCATGACAGCCCAAGAGGCCCCCAAGAGGGCCCCAAGAAGAGCCCAAGACGGCCCAAAATGGCCCTGAAGGATTTGGACAGTTTCTTCTTTTCAGCTCTCCGACGGCCCAAGACGGCCCAAGAGGCCCCCGACATCGACCCAAGAGCGCCCAAGAGGCCTCCAAGATGGCCCAATGACAGGCCAAGAGGCCACCAAGAGGGCCCCAACAAGACCCCAAGACGGCCCAAGAGGCCCCCCAGACGCCCAAGATGGCCTCCAAAACGGCCAAGATGGCCTCCAAGCCAAGAAGGCCTCTAAGACCGCGAAGATGGCCCCAAGATGCACCCAAGACGGCCTCAGATGGCCTGAAGATGGCCTTGGACTGCCCAAAAGGCCCGCCAGAGGCCTCCAAGACGGACCAAGACCCCTCCAAGACGTCCTCCAGGAGGCCCGAAAGCTCGGGAGCCACCTGGTCCGATAGCTCGCCCGACTCCGGGTTCCCCGATGGCTTTCGAAACCCACTCGGGGAATGCGTGGCCCGATAGCTTGGCCAAGTTCCAACCCAACTGTCGGCCACGCAGGCGCTTCCAAAAAGGCAGGGGGCGGCGGTGATTCGCCGTACGCCTTCGATACAAAGACTCCGCGCGCACCTCTGAACATTAATGCGTATACCGCTAAGTTGCGCAAGTAGGATGAATTACTAAATTAGATGTCATAGTCGTATTATGTTGATACGTCTTAATGTCATGAGAGGGATCGCATGATATATATATATATATATTTCATTGAACGTGTAGGAATAGAAATATTCACTGCTGCTACTGCCTGCGTAGCGTTAAAACGAACACTCGCAATGTGAGCACTGTGCTTACCATTGCTGCTACAGCAACTGCCAGCACGATGACTATTTTCACGATGGGAGGGACTCGTCTCCCTGCCGGCAGTACGACACAAAGTCTTAGCAGTCGCCTTCTTCGTCGTGATATGAGCACAGGTAGTACTACTATGTGTAGCTGGTCCCATGAGACTTGGAGAGGCCGAGCCTCCTCGATGGAATGCGGCCGCTCGCCCGCCCGCATCGGCGCCGCCGCCCGCGCGGATCTGCCCGGCCCAGCTGCCGGCATCGGGCCAGACCCCTGGAGCGCGCTGGCGACGACAGACTTGCACCACAAAAAAAGGCTGCGGCGCAGGAGGGTGGGCTGGCAGGGCCCAGGAAAGAGGGAAGGAGCGAGCGGACGGAGGATGGGGCAGGGGGAAAGGGGCAGGGACGAGGCAGGGCGGGGAGGGGGGAGTCAAGCTGGGTGCGCTCGCGCACCCAGCCTGCCCTCCCACCTGTCCGCCACATCTGACATCCTACCCCATGTCACGCGTGCCTTCC